GCTGATCCTGGAGGCGGCAACTCATCTGTCGCCCCTCAGATACAGGATCCGGAATCACTCCAAAAGCAATGATCTCCTTTAGAGTGGCCCCATTTGGGGTAAGGCCTCCAGCCCCACCCCCAACGCACAACGGGGCTGCAACACCCGGAGAAGCGCCAAGAGCCGTCGCATGCATCGGCGAGGTACCCAACGCACCCCGCGTCGTCAGCCGGCACCCGACGCCAGGGGACGCAGCGAGGGGCACCGCCTCCAAAGGCGCGTGAGGGGGAGTGAGTGCGGGTGCTGCCTGCCCACGCTCCCTACCCGACCCAGCCCTCTAACTGGAGGGAGACGCGGCCAACATGGCCAACGTCGCCTGGATCACCACCTGCTGCTCAGCGGGCGTGGGCCGGCTCCCGGAGCCCATGGACGCCGCAGGAGCGGCCACCCTGACCGCCACAGGAGAAGTAGGGCCGAGGCCACCTGCCCGGGTCCCCCTCCCAAACCGGTCCCAACACTTATCCGCGATGTAGTCAATATCGCGCCCGGCATCAACGGAGTCCTCATCCGTGGAGAAACAATGGGAGAAGTGGGAGAACGAGGGGCCTCCTGCCCACGATCCCCCCCCCCTGAACAAAGTCATCTCAGAGACAATCGCAACCAAGCACCCATCCACAGAGGCATCTGCATCAGCAAAGTCCAGGGGAGGGAGTGTGCGTTCTAGCACCCCATCACACTCCATCCGATCGCTCCAAAGGGGGTCAAGTTCCTTTGTTTCTTCGCGTGCTTAAAGGTAAACCGCAAAGTCCTCAAAGTGTATTACTTTTTTGCTTATCTTCCTACTCTTCCACTATCTAGAGCCTTTGAACAATCTTCCTCGGATCAGACAAACTACTCCACAGAGAGAGTCATTACAAATCCTACTCTTTTTCAGAAACTCCACATATTCCACTCCTAGGCCCTAGACCACTTGCTCTGTCTTTTTTTTTTTGAAAAGGGGGATATATTAATATCATGAAGATATTAATTACACCTAGCCTCTGCACCTACATGATGTCGCAAAGACATTCAGGATGCACACAACTAAAGAAGAAAAAAAGAAAAGAAAAAACAAAGGTCCCACCATAGCGATCAACTCCTCATCAACAGCAGCACTCCTACCTCCACCAAATACAACACCCGAAAAATATAAAAGGTCTTCAAAAACAATGCCTCCAAGAAGGGAACAGTGCATCACAGCGCCGTCGTTGCCTGGTCCAAGATTTTAGATTTTCACCCTGGAGAAAGTCCGCACTCTCAAAAACAATTCCTTTAGCAAGGCAATCGCCAGGCACAACCAATGAAGGTCAGACCTTAGGTTTTCACCCTGAAAGTCACGACTTTGGTACCCGAGGAGTACCTAAAAATATAAAATCCTCCGGTGTTCCCGCTCCCACTTATTACTGCTGCTCCATAGAGTTATCTAACACCTGGCTAACTCCATTGCCTCGAAGGCTCCGTTCATGTAATTGATCCTTCGATCTCGGCCACCATGACTTTCTCCACCGCTGTCTCCACCATGAAAATCGAGAAGTCGAAATGTCCCAAGGTGTCATCAGCCAATAGAGCTTCGCGCCACGCCTTCAGAACCTCGTAGGCTGATATGGACGTGCACGACCAGAAACTAACCGATTTAGATATGCTGAGCAAAATCTCCGGCGGTCGTTCCGGAACACGTCGATGGCTAGATCAAGAAGGAGCGATCATGCAGGTCGTTATTGTGATACGAGAAGAGCACGGGACCGCCACCTTTATCATCACGGCAGCAGGCCCCCATGCTGCCCCGATCCAACCTGTCGCCGCCAGGCCGGGCACTGGCACCAGGCCAGGCATCTCCAGCAGACGAGTGGCGCTCGAGAGGACAACGGGACGAGGCTGGGCCAGATTCCTCTGGCACCACACACATGGACGGCGCTGCTGCTCGAAAGAGCTGGACATGGCCGCGCTTGACGTCCCTCGAGTAGTTGCCAAAGAAACAGGCAATCAACCCAGATCTTGCCCACGTCTCCTCCGAGCAACGCACAACTCCGCCATGGGAATGTCAGCATCGCATATAGCGGCTGGGCACCACCACATAAGAGAGTCGACTCCACCAGCACAGCCAGGGAGCGACGTCACTGACCGCCGCGCGCGTTTTTGCTTGGTTCGATTCTTCAATAGTAACAGTGCACTAGAAATCCAGAATTGGGGAAGAATTTCACTTTCCCGGCCTCTGCACCAACTAAGGATGTATACGGCCTTTTATGTATGAGTACTAGGATTTTTAATCTCGGTTACGCACCGAGTCTAGTCCTCAATAAATGCGTGAGTATCAGGAAGGTCTCGTCCTCAAGAATAAATAGGAACCTAAATTCGCCTCCGTGAGGATTTAAACCCAGGTGTTGGGTTTGTACATCCACTCCCGCAACCAGTTGAACTTGCTCTGTCTTCTTGTACTGCCCGAATATTCCAAACGATTTTTTGGTTGGAATTTTTGACCGACTTCCAGAAGTGTGCGCATGTGTGTCCTCGATTGGTCCGTCAGAGCCTCCTAACAATATTTAGTCAGGCCTTTCAAGCTTTTCGAAAGTTGCCACCTTGAGTTTTGTTCAGCGATTCCGAGCTGATCACTCAGAGCCTCTGAGTTGTGCGAGAAAGTATGCAACGGTCAGATTTTTAGTCTAGTTTATATATACCCCTGCATATCCCACCAGATTACTCGAAGAAACTCCATTCAAATCCTACTTCCAAGAGCAAAGTACATTATCTCTTTAATCACAAGAGCGGAGAATTTGTTACGAACCAAAAATCAAGTTTGGGATTTTTGTTTTGTTTTTCATTTGAACCATAGAAATAAATGACCTGCATTGAATTGATATATGGTAAAGAGACTCTATGGTAAAAGGACTCAAAAAATAAGCAGCACAAATACGAGTACTAGGTGAAATTTAAGTAAATCAAAGAATCTTCTACCGGTACAATTTTTCTATATAGTCTATGGCGTACAGTTATTTATGAGATAACCCTACAATTTCGTAACACAAATTAACTTCATATAGGCACAAGATCATCTTATCAAATTCACATGCAAGGCACCCTGGCGAATAAAATCTCCTGCATGAGATGAGGACAGCTTGCCTCCAGATGTTTGAATACATCTGAATCTGTTTTCTTCACAGCTTCAAGTGTCTTCCCTGAGGCTAGAAACTCAATACAAGCTTTTTTGAGAACCCTGCAGTTATGTTGCTCTGCTAAAGTTAGCGTTGTCGTGACTGTCTTCAAGTCGATGCTATCACACAATTTACCTTCACACATAACCCTCAACCTGTCCACTCCATATAGATCCGCCGCAACTAGTAGGTGTTGTAGATTTTCAGTTTTGCCTTCTTCATAACGATCCATCATGCAATCTGTGTATATAAAGTGAAGAAGCGACTCGAATACTTGTGGCTCAATGTCGTCAATCTCGATGCACCAAGTTGAGTTTTCTTTCATCGGACCAAAGAGCTCTGCCTTGAAAACCGGAGACCGTGCAGCCAACAAACATCTGTGGGCATTGAACAATTGGCCGCGAACACTAAATGTCACATCTGCACCATCTCCATCCACATGCATGTGCCGGAGATGCTCTTGCAGATTCGTCGGTGGAGCCACGGCAAGGTTCGTCTTAAGCTCCGTGCGAGATTCTTTTATGATGGTGAGTACGCACCTTATGGTAAATGAGCCATAGTAAAGGTCCGGCACTGATTTCAGCTTTGAATTGTCGAAAAATTTGGTGTAGCCGAAACCGTCACTAGTATGAGCTGGAGAAAAGATGTGGTCGACTAGAGCATTGGTTACTTGGCCGTGTTTCTCCAGAACGCTTAATGTGAACTTTGTCCTCACACCTTTTGAATCCGGTGAGCAGAGATGGTGTAAAAACACTGACCCTTTGCCGGCGTAGTCTTTGGTGACTCCGTCCGGATAGAGCCTGATATTCCAGTTGTAGCCACCGACGCAGAATGTGCTCGAGCTGACGAACTTGCCGACGCCCATGCCAACGATTAGCTAGTAGTTGATAATCTCAAAATCGTGGGTCCCCATGAAGCTCTCCGTGAGGCATCTCGACGCCGTCTCGAACAGAGACTGGCCAGGCTTAGCTGAGGAAGACGATCTGTTACCCATGGCAACGGTAGAAGCAAGACTAAAGAGCGAGAGGTCACCACCGATGATGTGTTGGTCTTGTGTGTATATATAATAAGGAATCTAGCTTTATGTTACAGGTATAACCGTGTTACATATATGTACACACAGGAAGGTGCTATTGTATTCGGATTGAGAAATCCTAATGTGTTTGTGTGTAGATAAGAAATACAACGAGGACGCGCAGACCTACCAGGATACAGAATCTGAATTGTATAGCAATTCCTCAATTTTCTTTTAATAAAATTTCTGAATATGTTTGTGTCAAAAAGCCCCAAAGAAAATACTCCAATATTGGACACATGACACATGAGTCATTGCCAGGAGTGTAGCTAGGCACGATAAACGCAGACACATGAGGCTCCAATATTGAAGTGATTATATACCAAGAATCAAGGGAGAACAATAACATGACTATACCAATGTAAATATATATATTCTGAAGTTGAAATGTAGGTGACCCAACACAATAACTGAAATCTCAAATTTTGTATAAATCAACGCTACACAGACTAAGTACTAAATACTGGTCACATGATCATTTAATTTCTAGACAAACGAGACTAGCCACTCAAGACACAGGACACCTTATCTAAAATATCCTTCATGAGCAAAGGGCAGCTTGCCATCAGATGCTTAAATCCATCCGTTGCCATGATATCTCCTAGCCTGTTTTGTGAGGTCATGAACCCAATGCATGCTTCTTTTAGATCTCTACAGTGGTGCTGCTCCGCCAGAACCAACGTGGTTGCCACCGTTTCCAGGTCGATGCTGTCACGCAGCCTTCCTTCGCAGATAACTCTTAGCCTCTCCAACCCGTATCAATCTGCCGCAACCAACAAGTGCTGCATGTCTGTAGTTTTACCTTCTTTGCTGTCCCAATCATCTAGTATAGAATCCGTGTATATAAAGTGAAGAAGCGCCTCGAAGATTGGTGGCTCGATGTCGTCAATCGTGATGCTTTCTGTTGCCTTCTCAGTCATTGGACCAAAGAGCTCCGCCTTGAAGACCGGAGACCGTGCAGCTAACAAGTATCTGTGGGCACTGAACAACTGCCCAGATACACTGAATTTCACATCTGCTCCTTGTCCATCCTTCCACATCTGCTGGAGATGGTCTTGTAGATTTGGCCGCGGAACCACGAAAAGGTTCCTCTTGAGTTCTGTTCGCGGTTCTTTTATCACGGTAAGAACACACCGTATGGTGAAGTAACCACCTGTGGCATCCGACGATGATTTCAGCAGCCTCGATTTCTCGACAAATTTAGAAAAGCCAAAATCATCAATTGGCGAAGAGAAGGTATGCTCCAACGAGCCGAAGCTTGTTACTAGGACTTTGCCCTCCTTTTCCAACATGTTCAAGGTGAACTTGGTCCTGACACCTTTCGGTTGGCTGGAACAATACAAAAAGGCTGAAGCATTACCGGCACACTCGGCATTATTGCCATCTGGGTAGAACCTGATAGTCCAATCGTGGCCACCAACGCTGAAGATGCATGAGCTGATGTATTTGCCAACACCCATGCCGGCGAGCAGCGAGTAACAGGCTACCTCGAAATTGTGGGTGGCAGTTAAGCTCTCCGTGAAGCATCTGGACGAGGTCTCTGATGGGCTGTGGCCATGGTTAGCGATAGCGGTGGAGTTTTTTGCCATGGCCCCAAAGAGATGGAGAAACGATGAGAGGACGATGGGTGTTTGATCTTGGTACGGTCGTGGGGACGTCTCTTTCTCGAGAATCACGGGATATTATTTCCCTTTCTTAGCATCCCTGATTACAGTGGCGAAGCTGATCAGAAAAAACTGGGCCGGCCAGACTAAAGAACAGCACGACCATTTTTTGAAATTCTGAATGTGAAACCTATCCTGCAATCTGTAAAATGTAAAGAACAATTAAGCAGTCAATTGAGTCGAACAATTAGGCTGTCTACTGAAGCAATTGTAATCAAATCAATTCTTCTCTGAGTGTGAGTGGCCTTGGCCATGGCTACCAACATTGCAATTTGTATAAGATGTAAGGAACAATCGAGTGAAAAATCAGGCTATTAATTATAAAATGGCTAACTAGGAATTTGGGGAATACCTGCGTGTTCCCAATCTGATGTCTTGCACAGGGGCAGCTTCGTTGGGGGGAGGAGAGCAGTCGTACGAGAAGGAGCGCAAAGGGCAGTGAGCCGGCACGACGGCGCAGCCGGGAGGATGTCGCCGATTGCTCGCTGCGAAGGCGACGCTACCTCCTGGAGGATCCGCTGCTACACAGATAATTGGATCAATCGTGCCCTGCTTGGTTAGTGGACCGCAGGTGGGCTGGGCTCATAGGTAAAAATGAAGACCATGCAATTCCTGGGCGGGCCGTAGACCAGTTTGGTCTCAAGAAAGAGCACCCCCTCTACATGATTAATGGCCCCTAAAAAAACTGATTAATGATTACCAGCACAAATGCCCTTGCATTGCAAGTTTGCAACAGAAGACATTATTACGGGTCTCATGCCTTGACTTATTTCCGTTCGTCCTATTATCCTCTTCCCTGTCCGCCATTAACATCTCCTCCACACACTCTGTATCTCGGCCCTCGATGCCTTGGCCCCCACTGTCCTCCTTCTCGTTTCTAGTGGCGACATTAGTCGGCGAGGTGCAGTGGCGCGGCATGCCATGCGTGGCGGTGCCTGGGGCACATCGGCGTTCGTGGCGACGGCGGCATCGCGGTTGTTGTGGCGTGCGTAACTGTGGCGCAACACGACGTGCATGCATGGCGGCGCCCGACAGCTACGGCGTGGTGGTGACGGTCTAGCGTGAAGGCGCCCAGCGGTAGCCATGACGTGGCATGGTGGAGGCACAGCAACAACCCAACGCGGCGCATCGTGAAGTTTCAGGTGGTTATCCGTCCATAAGAAAGCTTTTTTCTGTAAACACGCGAGACGGAAATGATGATTATAGAGGATTCTATAATTTAAAATTCAGATTTACAGAGCAGTTGTTGGAGTTCTTTTAAGGGTACGGGAGCTATTGTAGTTGCTCTAACAACATAATCATGGATCAAATCCAATTTCGTTACTAAAGCACCGTCTATTAAGAGAAGTTTGTTACATCTGTTCGTTTTTATTATCTTCCATTGATTTATTTTAAATTTTATTTGCGCAAAATCCTATCCCTTTCCTTCGGTATTAGGGATTTCTTTTTTCATTTGGTAATGGTAAACTAAAAGCGTAGTACCACTTCAAAATTTGAGCATTTTTTGGTTAAGTTTAAGAAAGTGTTTTTTCTACATCAAGGGACATTGCACCCACCAATGGCAACATAGAATAAAATCTGAAACTTTGTGGCTTTGATTATAACCAAATGTTTTATTTCTTGCTAAATTTGGTGGCCAAATGACATGGAGTCCTATACAATTTTTTTTTTGCTCAAAGTATGTGCACTGTTTGAGTAGAAATCTGTACTGCGTTTGTATGGAGATCATTTCATGCTATTTATCCACCAAACTTTGCAAGCACGTAAAACATTTGTTTATAATCACTGTCACGAAGCTTAAGATTTTTTTGCTATTTGTTTTGATTTTACTGTTCATCATGGGAGCAATGAATTTGGGTGTAGTCATCACTTTTCCAATATCTTTCATGAGCATACCGGTGTGTATTGTCGTACTATTTTTTTTTTTGAAGAAAAACTCCTGATCTATACATTTTTTTTGAAGAAAAACTTCCGACCTATACATCAGCTGTAAAGGTAGTACAAAGAACATCAAAAATAAAAATTATATCCAGGTCCATAGACCACCTAGCGACCACTACAAGCACTGAAGCGAGCCGAAGGCGCGCCGCTGTCATCACTCCTCCATCACCAGCGTCGCGCAAAGCTTTTTGTAGTAGACAGTCGGGAAATAGGCCCTACAGGACCAGCGCACCAGAACAACAATCGCTACCAATGAAGAGAAGCATAGATTGGAAGGACCCAACTTGTAGACACAGGAACACAGACGAACGAAGACTGGATCCATGTGGATCCATCGAAAGCTAAGGCCGACCGAATCCCATGAGATCTGCCGGAGACAAATCTCCACACGCCCTCCGGTGATGCTAGAAGCACCGCCGGGACGGGGGCTAGGCAGGGAGAACCTTATTTCATCTTCAGAGAGCCGCCACCATCTCATCTCTCTGAGTAGGGCACAAACCCTAACAAAACTTTCTTTTTCAAAAACAGAACCCTCCCGCGGGCAAGGCCCAAGATCCACTGCGCCTCCATGGCCCTAAGGCTAGAGAAGACGAGGCAGACCGGCACCAGCGCCGACGGGATGCACTCAAAACACTAGCAGTAGGTGCCTTACGCTCGTGCGAACGTGTCGTAGTATATATAGAAGTGATTATACTTATATAACGAGAAAGGTAGAACAATAACATGATTCTAGCTGAAGTTGAAATGTAGATAACGAACACAATGATTGAAATCTAAAAATCGGTATAATCATCTACTTAGTACTACATACTGGTGACATGATCATTTAATTTCTAGACAAACGAGACTTTTCACTCAAGACACAGGACACCTTGTCCAAAATATCCTTCGTGAGCAAAGGGCAGCTTGCCATCAGATGCTTGAATCCATCCGTTGCCACGACATTTCCTAGCCTGTTTTGTGAGGTCATGAACTCAATGCAGGCTTTTTTGAGATCGCCGCAATGGTGCTGCTCCGCCAGAACCAGCGTGGTCGCGACTGTTTCCACGCCGATGCTGTCACACAGCCTGCTTTCGCACATAATTCTCAGCCTCTCCAATCCGTATCGATCCGCCGCAACTAGCAAGTGCTGCATTTTTTCAGTTTCATCTTTGTTGTCCCCATCATCTTGGACGGAATCCGTGTACATGAAGTGAAGAAGCGCCTCGAAGATTGGTGGCTCGACGTCGTAGATCTTGATGCTCTCTACCGCGCTCTCCTTCATAGACCCAAAGAGCTCCGCCTTGAAGACTGGAGACCGTGCAGCTAACAAGTATCTGTGGGCGCTGAACAACTGGCCAGATACACTGAATGTCACATCTGCTCCTTGTCCTTCCTTCCACATCTGATGGAGATGATCTTGCAGGTTTGGCTGCGGAACCACAAGAAGGTTCCTCTTGACCTCGGTCCGTGGTTCTCTTATCACGGTAAGAACACACCGTATAATGAAGTAGCCATTGTTTGCCTTGGACGACGATGATTTCAGCAGTCTCGATTTCTCGACGAATTTAGAATAACCAAAATCATAACTTGGCGAAGAGAAGGTGTGGTTCACCAAACCGTATCTTGTTGCTAGCACTTTGCCCTCTTTTTCCAGCGTGTTCAAGGTGAACTTAGCCCTCACACCTTCCAGTTGGCTGACACAATACAAAAAGGCTGAAGTGTTACCGGCACAGTCGTCCGATTCACCATCTGGGTAGAACCTGATAGTCCAGTCGTAGCCACCGACGCTGAAGACGCAGGAGCTGATGTACTTGCCGACGCCCAAGCCGTCGAGCAGCGGGTAACTGGCCACCTCGAAATCGTGGGCGGCGGTGAAGCTCTCCGTGGAGGATCTGGACGACGTCGCCGGTAGGCCATAGTTATTAACGACGGCCGGGGAGTTGTTGGCCGTGGCCATGGCAAAGATGAGAGAAGCGACGATGGTTGATGGGGGTACGTGCGCCTGTCCCAGCTGATCTTTTTATCGACGATGGACCTTACCTTGTTTCCTTAATAACGACTTCTATCTCGCTCCGTCTCCGGTTATAAAATCATAAGTTGGAACAAATCAAATCCGAGTAGTACATATAGTCATCCAATCCAAGTCGATTTAGGCAATTCGATCGACTGTAGACGGAACGGAGTAAATCATCCTGCTGCTATAAGATGCTGCCCGGTGCGCGCATCGGCTCCGGCGTGCTGTCCCTGCCCTGGTCAGTGGCGCAGCTCGGCTTGGTCGCCGGGCCTGCCACACTCAGTCGTCTTCGCCGGCGTCATGTACTACACCTCCGTGCTCCTCACCGCAGCGATGGCGCCATAGCCGGGAAGAAGAACTACACCTACATCGAGGCCGTGGAGTCCTACACTCCTACCTAGGCAGCGGCGAAGTGTGGTTCTGCGGCCTCTGCCAGTACGCCAATCTTGTCGGAACCGTAATCAGGTACACCATCACGGCGTCGACCAGCGCCGCGGCTCTATACAAGGCCAACTGCCTCCACAACAGCGGCCACTCCGTCGACTGTGGCGTGTACACCACCATGTACATGGTCCTCTTCGGGATCTCCCAGGTCATCTTCCCCCAGCTCCCCAACCTCCACGAGATGGCGTGGCTGTCTATCCTGGCCGCGGTCATGTCCTTCTCCTACTCCACGATCGGCGTTGGCCTCTCCCTGGCGCAGACCATATCAGGTCCTACCGGCAAGACGACCATGGGTGGCACTGTCATTGGGGTAGACGTCGCAAGTTCCGCCCAGAAGATATGGCTGACACTGCAAGCGCTCGGCAACATCGCATTCGCCTACTCGTACTCCATGGTCCTTATAGAAATCCAGGACACGGTCTAGGCGCCTCCGGCCGAGAACAAGACGATGAGGAAGGCGAACCTCATGGGGGTCTCCACCACCACAGCCTTCTATACATGCTCTGCAGCTGCCTTGGCTACGCCACCTTTGGCAACATGCTCACCAGGTTCGGCTTCTCCGAGCCCTTCTGGCTCATCGACTTCACCAACATCTGCATCGCCGTGCACCTCGCCAGCATCTACCAGGTTTACTGCAAGCAGATCTACGCCACCGTGGAGAGCTGGGCCGTGGCACGGTGTCCAGGCTTGGACTTCATCGTCCGCCAGAACCATCCCTTTGGCGCCCACAAGTTCGGCGTCAGCAAGTTCAGGCTGGTATGGAGGACAGCGTTCGTCCTCGTGAGCACGGTCCTCGCCATCTTGCTGCCCTTCTTCAACGACATCCTTGGCCTCCTCGGCGCGCTCGGGTTCTCGCCGCTCACCGTGTACTTCCCTATGGAGATGCACATCCGGCAACGCAAAGTGAAAAGGTCCTCCTGGAAGTGGGTGGCGCTACAGGGCCTGAGCTTCATGTGTTTCGCGGTAACGGTGGGCGTGACTCTGGCGTCGGTGCAGGGGATCACCCAATCGCTCAAAAGCTATGTGCTGTTCAAGACCAAGTTGTGAACAAGATAGCTTGGTTAAGTGAATATATTCATTCGCCTCTGTTTGTGCAAGCCTTTTATCTGGAAAAGCTTCTTGTTTTGTGCATTTGTGTGTTTGGTTGAAGCATTTACATAAACCCAAAAAAATGATGCTCTATTTACTCTTTTTGGAATCACGAAGGAGGATTGCATGTCTAATATTAAGAGATAGATAGAGAGGGACAAAAAGGTTCACAAAAACCAAGTGACGACAGGACCAAGGAGCACTACCAGATACCGTACCTCAAACCTACCTACCACACACCTATAGGCAATAGAAACAAGCTTTGTTGTTGTCAAATACTAGAAGTACCAGAGAGGAATGCCATGAATGTGCCAAGATTTCTAGAGAAAAAGAGACCTGAGGCAAGTTTTCTTGCCGTCAAATACTAGGAGTTATTATGCCATGAAGTAGTAACCAAACTCGTACGGTAAGAAACCAAAAATAACATCAAGATGCAAACACAATCGTCACAATATCATGGTAACACGTACAAGCTGAAACATTGTTAACTGAACATGGATTGAAATAGGCGATCTGCATAATTAGTTGCGCATATGATAGCTTTACCTCTTAAGAGCATCCACAGTGTGATGTTTTGCTGCCTCTAAGGCAGCCTCTAAGGCCATAGAGGCAGACGCTATACACTGTGAGAACAGCCTCTAAGCCAAATTTGCTTAGCATCGATGCTATGCTTGGAGGCAGCCTCCAACTCTGTCCATGCAATAAAATAATTTACTGGCCCTACATGTCATAGAAGAAGAGTATGCATGTGTCATGTCAAGACGATGAAAAGGAGCCCCTTGGTAATCAATATATTATACATAGTGGGGACATCTTAGAGGCTGGTAACATTTGCTATACACTGCGGAATTTTGAGCTGACTCTAACAGGAGGACGTGGGTCCCAGCTTGGAGGCAAGCCAGCCTCTAAACGTTATGGATGCCCTAACAGGACTAGCCACCACGGGACACCATGTCCAGTAACTCCTTCATGACCAAAGGACAGCTTGCTACCAAATGCTTGGAACCATCGGTTGCCATAACAGCTTGTAGAACATTCCGTGGAGCCATAAACTCAACACAAGCTTCTTTGAGGACCTGGCAATGGTGTTGCTCTGCTAAAACCAATGTTGTTGCAACAGTCTCCACGTCAATGCACTCAGACAATTTACTTTCACACATCCCATTTAACCTATCCAATCCATATCTATCCGAGGCAACTAGCAGATGCTGCAGTTTTGCAATTTCACCTTCTTTGCTGTGCTCATCAACTAGCAGGGAATCTGTGTATATGAAGTGAAGAAGCGCCTCAAAGATTTCAGGGTCTTGTCATCAATTTTGATGCAATATGTTTCCTTCTCCTTCATCGGACCCAAGAGCTCCGCCTTGAAAACCAGAGACCGTGCAGCCAACAAGCATCTGTGAGCTTTGAACAATTTGCCACCCACACTGAATGCCACATCTGCTCCTTGTCCATCCTTCCACATTTGGCAGAGCTGGTCTTGCAGATTTGGCTGCGGAACGACAACAGTGTTCCTCTTAACCTCGGTGCGAGGTTCTTTTATCACGGTGAGAACACAGCGTATAATGAAGAAACCATTGTTGGCTTGCGACAATGATTTCAGTTTCGCTTTCGCAACGAATCTGAAGTAGCCCCAATATGACTTTGCTGAGGAAAAGACATGATCTATCTCATCACATTTAGTTAATTGTGCCTCGCCATCTTTCTCTAGCATGTTTAAGGTCAACTTAGTCCTGACATTACAAGTGTCATTCTGTTGGATGACACGGTCAAGAAAGACTGATGTGTAGTCAGCGTAGTCTGCCATCCTCCCATCCGGGTAGAAATTGATAAACCACTCAAAGCCAGCCACGCTGAAGTAGCTTGAGCGAACGTGCTTGCCGACGCCGATGCCATCCAGCAACCGGTAATTGGCCACCTCAAAATCATGCACCGCAGTGACACTCTCCGTCAAGCATGTGGACGATGTCTTGGGTAGCTGGCCATGGCTAACTTCAGAGGTGGATTTGGTGGCCATGGTGAACAAAAACGCAACGGGTGTTGCAGGCTTGCGAAGCAGACAGAACTTGCTCTGAACAAAAATTCAGTTTACAAGCTAGCAGATATGGGCCTTAAACTGAGAGATCAACAGGTTTCAACCGGCGAAATCGGACCTTGAACGAAACACAGCCCAGATTTGAATCTGGTAACAATGAGATGTCAACACCAAGCACGCCACCATTTGGTTAACGCATAGTAGCTTCCCATCTACAAAAGTTGACGAAAATTCAAATCGGGAAAAAATTTAAGATCTGAACCAAGCCTACCAAACACTAAAGATAAAGATGGTTCACGACGAACGGGCAGCGGCGCACCGTGGTAGAGAAGGCGACGGAGCTGCGGGAGGGCGGCACGCCGAGGAAAAAGACTCGACAGGCGAGGACGCGACGGGCAATCCACGGCAACGTCGCCAGGAGAGGACGCAATCGGCGGCGAGCCCGCAGTTGGTGGAGGCTGAGAGGAAGAAACCCCAGCCGCCGCCGTCCCTTGGAAGCGTTGGGGACTGTCGACTAGAGGCGCACCAGACGGGCTGAGAGAGTCTACAAAGAAACGAGTTTTCAGTGAAACCAGCCCATGAGAAACTGCGCTCGCGGTCCAGTCCCCAGTGGGCTTCAATTTTCCCATCCTACATGCCGACAACTCATAGCTC